GACCTGCACAGCATGGCGGCTGTGATTTCTGTGCAGGAGTAGCTGTCAGAGGTCCTCTAATCACTTGCAGAGAAACAGTATCCCATTACTTGCATCCCAGGTCCTGGAGCAACACAGAATGCAGCCTCCCTCTAGCCTGTCATCTTGGATCCCTCCCAAAATTCACATTCTTGAATTACTGAAAACTGAATTTTAGCAACAAAAAAAATAAAATGCAGTCAAGAATCCATGGTGTAAAAACAAGTAGAATAAAAGAAGCAAAAGTAGACAAGAATTGGAAAATGTCATAGAAAATCTAAATAATAAGCAGTAGAGGGTTTCAAGATGGTGGAACAGAGAAGGTTGCTTTCCTGGCTGATCCACAGCATGAAACCAAGTAAACAGATTAGCAGCTTCTCAGCAAGGTAGATGAAAATAAAAGGGGCAGGGGGAGAGAGGCTTTACGGGATTTAATACTGGACATTCAAAGCAGATTGGGGACACAGGAGGTTGGGTATAATAGAATAGGGAAGAAATCCCCAGCACAACAGTCAGTGCCCCAGGAGAGGCACCAGCCAGAGCAGTCCCTCTAGGAGCAAAGTGAAGGGAAAAGGGATAAAGGAATCTGCACTTTTAAGAGACTTGAGGTATGTCTGGGTACAGAGAGTTGAGAGAACAAAGACACTGCCCAACTAAACTGAAAGGTGTGTTGCACAATATCTTTGTGTGAGAAAGAAGCCCATCTCTCCCGACTGCACACAGAGGTCAGAGGAAGTTACAGATCAATGTCAAGCAATGAAATTGAAGACACCATCAAAAGCCAACCAACATTTATTATTCATGTATATTACATTTTTGTGAATTAGCAGATTTTCACATTTTTAAAGAGAGAGAGAGAGAAAATTTTTTAATATTTATTTTTTTAGTTTTTTGGTGGACACAACATCTTTATTTTTATGTAGTGCTGAGGATCTAACCCAGCGCCCCGCACATGCCAGGCAAACGCACTACCATTTGAGCCACATCCCCAGCCCCTTCAAATTTTAATCTTAGTTTTTAAGTTACATCTTGATTGTAGAAATACTTTATTAAGGACATTGGCTTTCATGTGTCATATAATGCAAACATATTTAACTGATGTTGGTTAAAACTTTAATTTCCTCTTCAGTGATTATCTTATTTAAATAACTGCATTCATCCACATTTTTCTAAAATAATTTCTCTTGTTGGCATTTTTTTCCTATTTTTTATTTTAATTTTTATTTGTATATGACAGTGGAATACATTGCAATTTTTATTACACATATAGAGCACTTTTTTCATATCTCTGGTTGTATATACACAGTATATTCACACAAATTTATGTCTTCCTATCTGTAGTTTGGATAATAATGATCATTACATTCCACCATCATTAATAACCCCATGCGTCCTCCCTACCCCTTTAACCCCTCTTCCCTATCTAGAGTTCGTCTATTCCTTCCATGTTCCCGCTCCCTATCCCTCTATGAATCAGCCTTATATCAAATAAAAATATGCTCATTAATAAGAAATGTAAATATCAACAACATTTTAAAATGGAATTTTTTTTCCTGAAATTGTTAGGAATATGGGTAAAACAATTCTCCTTTATGTTGGGTCTGTATATTCTGATTTATGCTGCTATGTTGCTTAAGTTTTCTGAAGACTGGTTTAGAGAATGAAGCAAAAGCCTGAAAATATTTAATGCCCAGAAAAGACAGCTTTTCTTCTAAGAATTTATACTAATAGTTGTACATGTGTACAACATGCATATGCAAAACATTGATTACAAATAGCATACTATAGCAAAAACTAGAAACAACTATTGAATCTAAGGATAAGGGACTATTTAAGTTATGATAATTCATAACCATTCAGCATGCTTTTATAGAAGAAATTATCAAAGCAATATTTCTTACTATATTATGTTAAAATAAAATTCTATATGCTAAATTTTTTTAAAAAGCCTACCAACAGAGAAAAGCCCAGGACCAGACATATTGTTAATCAGGTTCTATATCAGACCTTCAAAGAAGAACTATCACTAACCCTCTTCAAATTATTCCATAACATAGAAAAGAAGGGAATCCTTCCAAACTTGTGTATGATGCTAATATCACCCTGATACCAAAACTAGACAAAGACACATCAAAGAATGAAAACTTCAGATCAATATCCCTGATGAACATTGACGAAAAAAATTTTAATAAGATACTGCCAAATTACATACAAAAACATATTTGAAAGATGGTACACCATGATCAAGTGAGGTTCATCCCAGGGATGCAAGATTGGTTCAACATATGGAAATCAATAAATGTAATTCATCACATCAATAGATTTAAAGACAAGAATCCCATGATTATCTCAATAGATGTGGAAAAATAATTTGACAATATACAGCATCCATTTATGTCTAAAACACTAGAAAAACTAGGGATAGTAGGAACATACCTCAACACTATAAAAGCTGCATATGCTAAACCCAAGGCCAACATCATTCTAAATGGAGAAAAATTGAAGGCATTCTCGCTAAATACTGAAACAAGACAAGGATGCCCTCTTTTACCACTTCTATTCAATATAGTGCTTGAAACTCTAGCCACAGCAGTTAGGCAGAAGAAAAAAATTAAAGGGATATGAATAGGAAAAGAAAGACTCAAACTATCGCTATTTGCCAATGATATGATTCTATATTTATAAGACCAAAAACCTCTACCAGAAAACTTCTAGAACTCATAAATAAATTCAACAAAGTAGCAGGATATAAAATTAACACCCACAAATCAATTGCATTCCTATGTATCAGTGATAAATCAACTGAAAGAGAAATTAGGAAAACTGTCCCATTCATAGTAGCCTCAAAAAATATTTAGGAATCAAATCTAACAGAAGAGGTGAAAAACCTCTATATTGAAAAATACAGAACATTAAAGATAGAAATTAAAGAAGACCTTAGAAGATGGAAAGATCTCCCATGTTCTTTAATATGCAGAATTAATAGTCAAAATGGCCACACTACCAAAAGACACTATACAGATTTAATGCAATTCCTATTAAAATTTCAGTGATATTTTTCATAAAAATAGAAAAAGCAGTCATGAGATTCATTTTGAAAAATAAGAGGCCCAAATAGCCAAAGCAATCGTTAGTGAAAAATGTAAAGCAGGAGGCATCACAATACTAGACATTAAATTATACTAAAGAGCTATAGTAACAAAAACAGCAAGATACTGGCACCAAAACAGACATGAATACTAATGTTTCAGAATAGAAGACACATATACAAACCCGCATAAATATAGTTATCTCATACTAGACAAAGGTGGCAAAAACATACATTGGAGAAGAGATAGCCTCTTCAACAAATGGTGCTTGAAAAACCATATAGAGCACAATGAAATTGAATACTTCTCACCCTGCACAAAACTCAACTCAAATTGGACCAGGGACCAGAGACTCTGTGCCTACAAAGAGAAAAAGTAGGCCCAACTTTTCATCATGCCAGCTTAGGAGTTGATTTCCTACAACAAGACTTCTACAGAGCAAGAAATAAAATCAAGAATCAATAAATGGAATGGATACAAACTAAAAAGCTTCTTCAGAGTAAAGGAAATAATCAGGAACATTAAGTAAGAGCCTTCAGAATGGGAGAAAACCTTTGCCACCTACACCTCAGATAAAGCATTAATCTCCAGTATAAACAAAGAACTTTAAAAAATTAACACCAAAGAAACAAATAACCCAATCAATAAAAGAAAATGAACAGGCACTTCATAGAACAAGAAATACAAGTGGTCAACAAATATATGGAAAAATGTGCAACATCCCTAGCAATTAGAGAAAAGCAAATTAAAACTACACTGAGATGTCATCTCACTCCAATCAACAAGAATACAAGTAACAATTAATGTTGGTGAGGATGTGGGGTAAAAGGTACACTCATACATTGCCAGTGAGACTAACTGCAAATTGGTATAACCACTCTGGAGATTCCTCAGAAAAGGTGGAATGATAACACAATTTGACACAATTATCTCATTTCTTGGTATATACCCAGAGACTTAAAATCAGCATACTACAGTGAGATGGCCACATCAAGGCTTATAACAGCTCAATTCACAATAGCTGTACTATGGAATCCTTCATAGATGAACAGGAAAAGAAAGTGTGATACACACACACACACACACACACACACACTCACACACAAGAATATTACTCAGACATAAAGAAGAATGATGATATACCTTTTGCCAGTAAAGGAATGAAACTGGAGACTATCATGCTAAGTAAAATAAGCCATCACCAAAACACCGAAAGTCAAATGTTCTCTCTGATATGCAGAAGCTAACACACAATGTGGGGGGGAGCATAGAAGTTCATTGTATTAGACAAAGGGGAATGAATGGAAGAGAGGGGGTATGGAATAGGAAAGATAGTATGATGAATTGGACATAAATTTCCTGCATTCATATATGAATACATGACAAGTGTAACTCCATAACATGTACAACTACAAAAATGGAAGATAATACACCAGTATGTATAATAGATCGAAATATATTCTACTGTCATGTATATCTAAAAAGAACAAATAAAAAATAGTAACCAGTAAAGATTATAATAATGATTATAATAATAAATAGCTATATAATTTTGGCAAACTGGGATGAAAGACAAAGAGATGGAGGTATCTCAGAACAAATCTCCCAGGCCAATGAATGTTTCTAAATGTTTAAATTACATTGTGCCAAAACTAAATGTTTGCCAATTTAAAAGTCAAATGCTTTCTTATAAAAATCTTACTTTTAACTAAATTCAAAATGCTTTTGTAAATGAAAGAGGAAAAAGATATATTAAAACTTGTCAATCCAAGATGGTCTTGAAAAAAAAAGGAATAAAGAATAAAAGAAAATATGGTGAAAAGAAAAAAAATAGCAATTCTCTTTACACCTGATCTCTTTTAACTTACTATTCATGTCTTCCAGGTGGATGGTGAGGCACTTGCTAAACCAAAAAAGAAATATAATGTCAAGAACTCATTTTACAAGTCCTCTACACAGAAGTAAGTTTTTTCCCCCAGTAGAATTTTCATTTTAAAATATATTTCTTTATCCTTAATGACACATGTAATGGGTTGATAATACCCTGGATCCTATGAGTAATTCAGAAAACACCAAACACAGACATTTACTTACTCATGTTGGCTAAATAATAAACATTTCAAGGTCTTAAAGAACATCTACGTTTGATAGTTAATAAAATCAAGACAAAGGAAATGGAGAGAGACAGACAGACAGATACACACACTAGAGGAGAGCACAGTGTCATAGAGAATAATGGCACACACCACAGAAAGCTTACAGGAGAATGCAGTGACTCAGGAGCCCATGTGCTAGACTATGAAATTATCTATGAACAAAGCAAAGTGAGGTCTCTGTTCTCAAAGGCTCTCATTCTAAAGGGAGGGAAACACATAGATAGAGAGTAAATAGTTATTGCTTTAGAAAGTGATATTAAAAAAAAGAAAGGAAAAGTAGAATGCCACAAGTGTGGGATAGCGGACTTCAGGCATCTGCAGAAGGTGTGGAGAGGCCTCCTTGAGCAACGGGTTTAAACAGAAACTTGGAAGAGGAGAGAAAAAGTTGTAAGGATGTTGGGAGAGAGCAACTAAACTGCAGGCAGAGGAAGCATAGCACAAAAGCCCCCGTTGGAAGTGTTTAAGGTGTTGTGGGAGGGCACTAGGCCAGCATGCCTGGAGCCAGGGTCAAGTGCAGGGCGGAGTTGGGGGTGGGGGTAATGGTAGCAAAAGAATAGGTCAGCAGTTTTCACTGTCTGAGAGTTCTGTTGATCAAAAGTCCAGACATGTCCCAATGGGGTTCACTGTCCTGGACCCTCCAAGTGGGAATGAAAGTGTCTGCTGGGACAATGTCCTCATCTTCCAAGACCATTTGGGCTGTTGGTGGAATTCAGTTTGTTGCAGCTCACAATCTTTGTTTTTTCAACAACAAAGAACATCTGCTACTGTTTTGTCACTTTTTAGGGTTCATTTGTTTAGGCAGTCCCATTCATGACATCTACCTTTTGAGTAATTCAAATTCAGCTGACTAGGGACCTTAGTTACATATGCTCAATCCCCTTTGCCACATAAAGTGACATATTATAGGTATACTCTCCCATTGTGTTTACTTGCTGCCACACTAAGAGGGCATGGGGGATTCCATCTGTGGTGTACCCCAAGTAGCAGGAATCAGGGCAGGGGGTGGTCATAAAGAATGTCACAGAATGTGATGGTGTTATGAACTACATCAATTGACTGTGTGTTTTGCATAAACTGTTCTTATTTAATAATTCCCCAGAGCTTATGAAGCTGTTCCTTGGGACAAAATGCTACCACCAAAACTAGATCCAGAAATAACAACAGTAGAGAAAGCGGCTGACCTCATCTCACAGTGTTTTACACTGAAAAGATATGAAAGAGTACCAGCAATAACCCAGGTCTGTGAACACTGCTTGAGCATCCTTGAGTTTGTTACTGTTAATGAACTGGACTCCAAAACTTTGGTTCACAATAGTATTTTGGTTAAGAATTACATATGAAGTTGAAAGTTCCTTAATCATGAATGCCATTACTAACTGCAAATATTTTAATATTATCAACTCTGAAAATTTTTATTATGGGATTATTTCTCAAAACTCATTATCAATAACTTTATTTTTTTAAAAAATCACTATAGAATAAGTAAAAGAATGAAGGAGACAGAAACAAAAGATTCCAACAGATAATATATGCTGAGAATAGTTCTGAAAATAGGTTCTAGAACTTCTTTCTGTGCTCTTCAAGGCAGAAGGGGAAGATCTATGAATTATAGATTGCTGTATGCTTTCTCTGATTATGTGATATGATAAAGCATACCAAGCTGTGAGGAGAGATGTCCTCTTTTTTAATTTGTGAATATTAAGAGAATTTGTGACATAGATTATATTCATTCCAGAGAGTATTTTTCTAAACTGTGAATCTGTTAATGTTCCTCCTATGATTAAACATGTCTTTTTAAAACTATCAAATCCGTGCTTCTAGACATGACACATGCCCAATATTCCATATTTAGCCATAGCCCCCTTTTCTCCCTTACATAGTGTTCTTTTCCTCTGGCTTTCCCTTCTATCACCCAAACACCAATCCATAACATTCCAAATTCTCTCTGTTGAACTTTTTTCTAGTCCCCAAGTCTGCCATGTTCCCTCTCAGATCTTGTGTTTTGCAGTGTTATTTTGCCTTGGTCCCCTTTCTTTGTTCCAGGCTAAACCCAAAGCATTCTTGAGATCTCAGTCCTCACTTTTGACCTCCCAACTCTGCATTAGATATCTCTGCTTTTTCTTCTACTTTCTACTTCCATTGATTGGAAGTAGAAACACACTTGCTAATTCCATTGATTCCTCATCCTTTGCTGACATACCTCACTACATAAAGTTTAGTTAAGCAGTTGATTACTTCTCATAATAAAGTTTTTGAATATACAAAATACATAGGATTGAAAAAGATGTCAGTTGTATTGAAATACAGTAAGAAAGGTGGATCCTTAAGAGGTTGGTGAACCACAAATTAAGAAGCACACATTATCTGGTAAATTTTCTTCAGTTTTTATGGAGAAAAATGATAATAAGACAGAAATACATAGCTTCAATATAAAAAATCAAACCTGGGATTTTCACATAGAAATTAAGATCAATTAAAGGACAAACAAAATTTTTTATGGTTCTATCTATTTGTGAGGATCTCTCAACTACTTCAAAATATTTTTATATCATGCAAAAATTGGTTTCAACATTATATTTTTCCTAAGTGTTAAATTATATTAGCATCCAAAATCCTCCCCAGGAAAAATGAGGTTCAGAACTTAGGAGCTAGGCTGGGCTGGAAAGGGGCACTTAGGTGGACCTGAGGGCAGTAACTGGATGAAACTGAAACCAGACTGTTCACAGAGGCTTGGGGCTGAAGGAGGTGGATCTGAGGCAGATTCCAGCTGGGAGAAAACAAGTTAGAAAAGGGAATGAAAGTGTAGAGTGGAGACAGACCTAGAGTGACTCAGAAATCAAGCCCTGAGTTGCAGAAATGCCTAGAGAGTGCCTTCACAGAGAGTCTGTGCTCCATCCTGATGTGAGAGTGCTAGAAAGGATGCTAGAGCCTGTCTGTATCTTTGACGGGACAGTGATTTGTTCATTAACTGTCTCTTATTTGGTTATGATTTTAGATGGTCGGTGGACTCTGGGACAGATTTCAGACAAGATCATTCTTAGCACCAGTCAAACCAGTCAGTTTGTAAGTTTGATCTCCTAAGGTCCTCATTTCAAATTTATAACCATCACACATTTATCATGAATTATCTGATGCCCTAACTCAAGGATTAGAGGGACAGAAGAGGGGCCTATTCTTTGATAAAAGAGTGTTCCAGCAATCCTCAGTCCAGCATCTGTGAGACAGTATGATATTGGGTTTCTTGTTTATAAACTCAACATAAATATTAGCATGCATATTTATGCCATTTAACATTCTGTCCTGTATTGTGCTTGCAAGACACATAGGTATTGACTGTCTCTAGATTTTTGTTTTCTCTACAGTGTAGTCTTCCACTAAATAGATTCACCACAATTTATTCATATCCTTATAATGTAATTTTAAATCTAATTTTTATCAGAGTTGGAACAGCATTTACATTTTTCACATATACAAATATAAAAATATTTCTAGTTTTTATATATGGAAATTGGGTCATAATTGCTTGCTCAAGCAGTGTATACTTCTTCTGAACCTTCTAGATTTTCCATTTCTTTTTTTGTGGGGGAGGGTATACCAGGAATTGAAATCAGGGGCACTGGACCACTGAGTCACATCCCTAGCTATATTTTGTATTTTATTTAGATACAGGGTCTTACTGAGTAGCTTAGCACCTCGCTTTTGCTGAGGTTAGCTTTGAACTCTTGATCCTCCTGCCTCAGCCTCCCAAGCTACTGGGATTAGAGGCATTGGCCACTGCACCCAATGATATTTCATATTCTTCAAATGAATTTTACCAAAGGGTTCTCTCCCTGGTAGTGCTTAAGTTCCCATTACTGCACATTGTGGAAAGTTTTTAGAATTTTCAGATTAAAAATCATTCAGTCTTGGAAGAATGAAATTGTACTTCATTACAGTATCATCCTACACCTACCTGATTACTAATAATCATTTTTGTATGTTTATGAATTAGTTGAATTTTCACATTTTGAACTTATCTTATTTCGCCCCTTTTGCTGTTGGTGTCCTTGTCTTTTACTTACTGATTATAGAAACCTTTATGTTTAATATTCTGTATTAAAATCCTTTATTAGTAATAGTCACAAAATAACTTCTTCTAGTCTGTGACTTTTCTGTATTAAAGTGTCTGAAGTTTTGAATTTTAATTTATTCATCAATGTTTTGCTTCAGGTTTCATTGCTGTGGTGGAGTGTTAAATAAACTTTTCCTACTCTGAAACAATAAAAGATAGTCTTTCTTGTCTTAGGTTTTTTTCTAAAATATTTGAAGTTTTGTTTTTCACAATTATCTGTTTAAAATAATTGATATTTGCCCTTATCTATGATATGAGTTAGGGATCCATTCTCTCAACACGAATAAGCAATTATCCCAGTTTGGTTTACTGAGTAGACATTGTTAAATAGTTTAATGGATGATTTGTAGCCTGATGTTTCCAACTGTTGATGGTGAGTCACAACCAACATTTTCAAAAGTTAAATAGAGTAGAAAACATTAGTTTTAAAACAGAACTATGTGCTTTTCAACAAATAATGTAGTCAGTTACAAAGAGTAGCCTGAGACAGTCATCACAAAAAGAAAAGATGTGCTTTCCAGGAAGATGTCATCCCATCTTTTGCTCTCTGGAGTTTCATATGATTTTCTGCTTTTATGATAATCAGTTTGATCATCACCTCAATAGGAGGGTTCCTCTTACACATTTAATCATACATTTACTGATTCACAATTGATTCCAAAGTGAAATACAGGAGACTTTGTCCACAGTTAGAATAATAAATGAGAGTATTTTCATAAATTTCAGTTATTAAAAAAATAATATCAAGAATCACATTTTTTACATCTTTGAATATTGCACTTCTTAAAAATCTACTATAAAGTAACTTTAAAAGGGATTTCTTATCATTAGAAAGAAAGGAATAATGAAATGGAAATATTTAAAACCATAACCAAGGACCACTACAAGATCCACAAATGCAAGTAGGGACAATTTTTGAAAAGAATATTGATTCTCACAAAATAACTTATATCTTATTGATCCATATCTAATGTGCAAGATTTTTATAGAGATTATTTACAATGTCATTTTGCCAAGTATGTAAATCACTATGTTAGTCAGCTTTGTGTTGCTATGACCAAAACACTTGACCAGAACAACTTACAGGAGGAAAAGTTTGGTGCTCATGGTTTCCGATGTTCAGTCCATGATTGGCCATCTCCATTGCTGTGGGTCTGAGGTGAGGCCAAACATTAAGGTGGAGGAATATGGCAGAGAAAATCTGCTCAACCATGGCAGTCAGAAAAGAGGGAGAGGGAGGGAGGGAAGGAGAAATGGGGGGGGGGGGGGGGGGAGAGAGAGAGAGAGAGAGATGTCAATGCACAAGGGATCAACTATAAACCCAGACATGCCCCCAGTAATCAACTCCCTCCAGCCACATCTCACCTGCCTACAGTTACCACCCAATACAGTAGTCCTTTCAAATTATTAATCTTTCAAAAGGATTAATTCACCATGTTATAACTCTCATAATCTAATCATTTCACCTCAGAATATTTCTGGGTTGTCTCACACATGAGCTTTCAGAGAACAACCCATATCCAAACCTTAACAATTTCTCCAGGATACAAATTGAATGATAATGATACTGTATATAAAAATTGAAACACTCATGTATACAGCAAGATGGAAATGTTGAACATTCAAATGTCTTTAATACAAAACACATGAATTTTTAGTACTAATTCTTAATATGTGAATGTTAATTAAATATTTTTACTTGCATCTTTTTATTTCCATATCATATGTTCAAATAACTCACCCATATTGGGACATACTATTTCAGTTTATATGAATGTACTGCATTTTTATTTTCATTTTGGTGATATATCAGCTAGCAAATGAAATCTTTTTCTCAGTCAGTTAGGGTACTGTGCACCCTTAAGCCCTCCTCTATGAAAATTTGCTCCCAAAAGTCTACACATAAACCTATTTGTGAGTGTCTATTCATAATCTCCAGAACCTGGAAACAACCATGATGTCTTTAAGTAGATGAATAGATAAACACACTAGAATATTTCCATGCTGTGGAGTACTATTCAGCAATAAAAAAGCATGTGCATACAGCACACAATAGGGACAAATATTAAATATATTTTGGTCAATTAAAACAGTCATACACAGAGTTATTTATCATATGGTTCAATTTATATGACATTCTGAAAAGATAAAATTATATCTTTAGATTATTTCTAAGATTATAAACTTTTAGAGGTCAATTCCGATGAGATATATCTGAAATTTTTTAATATTAATAAGAGAAATCCTATAATCATTCATTAACAATTTCAATAATAAAACTGCTTATATTTTCTTTTTCTAAGTGTGAGTCCAAGTTCTAGAAGTCAATACATTCCTCTGTATACGTAAGTAATGTCTCTCTCTGTTTTAAAGAACGTGAAATTTATATCTAAATAGTAGTTGCTTTTAGCTCACTTATGTTTGTACTTCACTTTTTAGAACAACTATGTATTCTGGCAGATTTATAATGTTTTCCTGGCATAGAGACTGATCAATGTCAGGATGTCATTAAAAGTTTGTTAAATAATTTGATTAAGTTAAAAATAAAAAGAGCAATATTTTTTTCTGTTTTTACAAATAGAATATTTTATAAAATCAATATCATGGGTGTTACTAGTAGTATTCTCAAAAAGAAAGAGTCTTATAATTCATGGGAAAGGAGAGGTGCTCATTGACACCTAAGTGCAGGAAATGCCACCTCTTATTCTTATGCATTTAAATCTGGCTTTCTGGGAATGGCAAGGAAATACATCTTTTTTTTTTATTTTGGGGGGGATCTTCTTTTATTTTTTTTTTAATTGTGCCTTTTGGGGATCTTCTTTTATTTTTTTTTAATTTGAAGAATAACCCAGGAATGGAGTAGATTCAAGATCATGGAAGAGGATCTAAACCTTTAGTCCTTACCTCCCCTACTCATCACTGTCTCCTCTTCTTGCCTATGATAGAATTAATTAGTGTCTCTATAGATGGCCCCAGATCTCCTTGAAACACTCTCCAACTGACAGGACTCACCTCCTGACCTTCTTTCAGCTCCCAGGGGCTCATCACCATTGACAGTTTCCAACCATCTAACTAGACTCCCATTCTGCAGGAAACTTATTGTCTATGGTAGATACTAACTTCCATCATGCCTCAGTACCCACCCGGTGTCTACAGAAGGGTTTTTCCTGGGACTGCAGAAACCAAAACCGTCACTTCTTTATTTAGAAACATAAATTTGTTGTTATTGTCCATCAGCCTTAAACTTAAGATCAAACAGCATGGCATCTCTGAAGAAAAAAAAAAATCTCCATTGGTTGATTTGATCATTTGTATTTTTTAGGAAATTGTTCCATCGTTATGTCTTCATTTTTAACATTCTGAGCTTTCTTTTAGAAGTTAGAACCCTGTCGAACTATTCCTCCTAGGTTTCATATGAAGACACATGGATTTTCTTCTCTTTTCATTTTAACAGTGATCATGTGCAGACTACAAATGCCGATGATGTGGACAACCCTTTTGGAGACACCAGATCTTTAGCCAAGCCTCGGTGCTCTAGAATCCTTTATTCAACCACAAGTCAGTAAGTGCCATTCAGAATTATTTCACTTATTTTATTATTAAGTTTGAGACAATGATGGGCTTTACAAATGAAGGACTAGAAAATGGCCTAGCCTGTTAATGAACATAATGTATTCATCAGTTTTCCATTCCCATAACAAAATACCTAAGAAAATCAACTCACAAGGAGGAAAGATTTATTTTGTTCATGGATTTAGAGGTTTCCCTCCATAGTCACTTAGCTCTTTTGCTTTGAGCCTGTGGTGAGTCAGAACATCATGGTGGAAGCTAGTGATGAGATAGAGTTGATCACCTCATGATGGCTGAGAAATAAGGAGAGAGAGAGAGAGACAAAGGGACCAGGGGCCTAATATCCCCTTCAAGTGCACACCCCAAGTAACCTAACTTCCTCCCACTAGGCCCCACCTTAAAAAGGTTCTAGCACCTCCCAGTGGCATCACAGGCTGGTGATGATGCCTTTAACATATGGCCTTTGTGTGACATTTAAGAGCCAAACCATAGCACATACCTTAAAAAGAAAGATACTGCTTCCTGAAAGAAATGTGGCTTATCATAAAGGAGATTAGAGTTCTGAACAAGCCATCTCTGTAACTTCAGTGTCTTTGTCTGACATCTGGGATACAAAATTCCACCAAGCAGGCTGATTATAGGAGGATTGATAATGTTTATAAAAGCACCAGAGACATGCTAATGAATAACAGACCAGTGTAAAAGTTGGTAAAACTGGGTTCTTTTTCAAAAACAATACACCTGAGTTTTTCAGTTCTAGTAAACTACTTCATAGAACATTGGTCTGAGAGTGGTCATGCAATCCAGCAACCCTGAAAGTGCCTTTGATGCCAGAGGTGAGAAGAAAGATGACAATGAAATGTGAAATGCCTCAGTAAAAGGTTTGAGGAAAGACCAAACACCATCAAACTATAGTCTGATATTGGGGACTTTTCACCACAATCTTTATATACACTTAATGAGATACTCCTTGATATCCAAATAACCCCATCATAATGTGGGGTTATTTGAATTAGTCAAAAATGCACTGAATGTGTCTAACATATTTTGAACATGTTAGCTTTGCAATATGACACATTGTAGAGAGACTCCTGTTCACCTGGATAATCAAGGAGCTGACTGGGCTCACTGTGCTCCATCTCAAAAGAGAACTGAACCACATAGCAATAGCCAAAGAATGGATCCAAATTGAAATTCAAAGTATGTTCTCTATTGAATATGTATCACTTTTGCACATTATAAAGTAAAAAAATAAAACAGATCATTTTTTAAAAAATTGAGGATTATCTATATGTGTTACAAATAAGTTTTGTTTATATCTATTATTTATACACACAAATATATGGTTTACCAATGGGAATACTGCAGTTCAGAGAGCTTAAATTAATTATAGTTACCCTTAGGTATGGGGGCAGGGAATTGGTTCCATGACCCCAAAAGATATCAAAACTTGAGTATTGCTCAAGTTCCTTTTACATAATGGCTTAGTATTCGAACCTGCATACATTCTCCCATATACTTAAATCACCTCAAGATTACTTACTTATAACATCTAATATAATGTACTTGATATGCAAATGGTGTTATATTTTATTGTTTAATTATAATGACAAGAAAAAGAAGCTTATATATGTTACAGACAGGTACAATTTTTTAAAACACTTTTGATCTGTGGTTGATTGAATCCACGATACAGAACTTGTGGATATCGAAGATGTATTGTTCTCTGGGATTCATAAGAATGGTTCAAAATTTAAATCCTATTCTCTTTTTGTTATGCCACAGCGTTGCCAAATATCAGAGACACTCTACCATCAGTTTCTATAATGGTTGACAAATCTTACTGAAGATTTCACGCAAGACCACAGCATGAATTACAATGGTTTGCTTTTGGCTTTGTTTTGGCTTTTTCCCAGTTCTGGGAATTGAACCCAGGGCCTTGTGCATGCTATGCAAGTGCTCTACTATTGAACTACATCCCAAGTCCTAGTATTTTATTTTATTTTAAACTCCACATCTCTGGTAAATTTAATTTTGACAATTTTGTCAGAAAAAATAAATGAAGAAAAACTAGTCTCTTCCATAAGCAAGGTTGATGTAATTGCATATTCATATATCAAAAATATTATTGGATTTTACATGAGATTATGTACAATAGTTGACATGAAATTAATCTTACCCCAGAATATAAGAGTTAAAACTATAAAAAAAATAAGAAGAAAACAATTACATATTTATAAATCAGGTTTAGCTCTGGAGTCTTTTTTTTATTGGTTGTTCAAAACACTACAAAGCTCATGACATATCATCTTTCATACATTTGACTCAATTGGGTTATGAACTCCCATTTTTACCCCAAATACAAATTGCAGAATCACATCGGTTACACACTCACATTTTTACATAATGGCATATTAGTGACTGTTGTATTATGCTACCTTTCCTATCCCCTACTATCCCCACTCCCCTCCCCTCCCATCTTCCCTCTCTACCTCATCTGCTGTTGTTCAATTCTCTCCCTTGTTTCCCCCCCCCTTTCCCCTCACAACCTCTTATATGTAGTTTTGTGTAACATTGAGGGTCTCCTACCATTTCCATATGCTTTCCCTTCTCTCTCCATTTCTCTCCCCCCACTCGTCTTTGTTTAATGTTAATCTTTTCCTCATGCTCTTCCTCCCTGTTCTGTTCTTAGTTGCTCTCTTTATATCAAAGAAGACATTTGGCATTTGTTTTTTAAGGATTGGCTAGCTTCACTTAGCATGATCTGCTCTAATGCCATCCATTTCCCTGCAAATTCTATGATTTTGTCATTTTTTAGTGCTGCGTAATACTCCATTGTGTATAAATGCCACATTTTTTTTATCCATTCATCTATTGAAGGGCATCTAGGTTGGTTCCACAGTCTAGCTATTGTGAATTGTGCTGCTATGATCATTGATGTGGCAGTATCCCTATAGTACACTCTTTTAAGATCCTCAGGGAATAGTCCGAGAAGGGCGATAGGTGGGTCAAATGGTGGATCCATTCCCAGCTTTCCCAGGAATCTCCATACTGCTTTCCAAATTGGCCTCATCAATTTGCAGTCCTACCAGCAGTGTACAAGTGTACCCTTTTCCCCACATCCTCGCCAGCACTTGTTGTTGTTTGACTTCATAATGGCTGCCAATCTTACTGGAGTGAGATGGTATCTTAGGGTGATTTTGATTTGCATTTCTCTGACTGCTAGAGATGGTGAGCATTTTTTCATGTACTTGTTGATTGATTGTATGTCCTCCTCTGTGAAGTGTCTGTTCAGGTCCTTGGCCCATTTGTTGATTGGGTTATTTGTTATCTTATTGATTAATTTTTTGAGTTCTTTGTATATTCTGGATATTAGGGCTCTATTTGAAGTTTGAGGGGTAAAAATTTGTTCCCAGGATGTAGGCTCTCTATTTACCTCTCTTATTGTTTCTCTTGCTGAGAAAAAAACTTTTTAGTTTGAGTAAGTCCCATTTGTTTATTCTTCTTATTAACTCTTGGGCTATAGGCGTCCTATTAAGGAATTTAGAGCCCGACCCCACAGTATGTAGATCGTAGCCAACTTTTTCTTCTATCAGACGCGGTATCTCTGATTTGATATCTAGCTCCTTGATCCATTTTGAGTTAACTTTTGTGCATAGTGAGAGAAAGGGATTCAGTTTCATTTTGTTGCATATGGATTTCCAATTTTCCCAGCACCATTTGTTGAAGATGCTATCCTTCCTCCATTGCATGCTTTTAGCCCCTTTATCAAATATAAGAAAGTTGTAATTTTGTGGATTGGTTTCTGTGTCCTCTATTCTGTACCATTGGTCCACCTGCCTGTTTTGGTACCAGTACCACGCTGTTTTTGTTACTATTGCTTTGTAGTACAGTTTGAACTCTGGTATCGCTATACCTCCAGATTCACACTTCCTGCTTAGAATTGCTTTTGCTATTCTGGGTGTTTTGTTTTTCCATATGAATTTCATGATTGCTTTATCTATTTCTACAAGAAATGCCGTTGGGATTTTGATTGGCATCGCATTAAACCTGTAGAGAACTTTGGGTAATATCGCCATTTTGATGATGTTAGTTCTGCCTATCCATGAACAGGGTACATTTTTCCATCTTCTAAGATCTTCTATCTCTCTCTTTAGGGTTCTGTAGTTTTCATTGTATAAATCTTTCACCTCTTTTGTTAGGTTGATTCTCAAGTATCTTATTTTCTTTGAGGATATTGTGAATGGAGTAGTTTTCCTCATTTCCATTTCAGAAGTTTTGTTGCTGATATACAGGAATGCCTTTGATTTATGCGTGTTGATTTTATATCCTGCCACTTTGCTGAATTCATTTATTAACAATAGCAGTTTCTTTGTAGAAACTTTTGGGTCTGTTAAATATATTATCATGTCATCCACAAATAGCGATAATTTAAGTTCTTCTTTTCCTATTTTTATGCCTTTAATTTCTTTTGTCTGTCTAATTGCTCTGGCTAGTATTTCAAGAACTAAATTGAATAGAAGTGGTGATTGAGGGCATCCCTGTCTTGTTCCAGATTTTAGAGAGAATGCCTTCAGTTTTTCTCCATTTAGGATGATGCTAGCCTGAGGTTTAGCATATATAGCTTTTACAATGTTGAGGTAAGTTCCTGTTATCCCTAGTTTTTCTAGTGTTTTGAACATAAAGGGATGCTGTACTTTGTCGAGTGCTTTTTTTGCATCTATCGAGATGATCATATGGTTCTTGTCTTTAAGTCTATTGATGTGGTGAATAGCATTTATTGATTTCCGTATATTGAACCAGCCTTGCATCCCAGGGATGAATCCTACTTGATCATGGTGCACAATTTTTTTGATAAGCTTTTGTATTCGATTCGCCAGGATTTTATTGAGAATTTTTGCATACAAGTTCATTAGAGATATTGGTCTGTAGTTTTCTTTCTTTGAAGTGTCTTTGTCTGGTTTCGGGATCAGGGTGATGTTGGCCTCATAG